TAAAAATAACCTGGTTTGCGGATTAAATATTTGCAGTTTTGACAGTTATTGTAGCATTATCTACTGTGGTCATGCATGAATTTTATTATTTTGCGGATTTAAATTTTGTGCTTTAAATGGATCCGCAAACTCGCAAAATTTAATTCCCCGCAAAATATTTCCAGCTGTATGGTACAAGGCATATCTAATATATAGTCAGTATAAACTGTGTTATAATAGGTATTGATAGTAAGACTATGAAGAAAACCATCAAGCAAGTTCTGACTCAGCACCAGGTTGACTTGAATGATGTTTTTGATCTCTCTCTGAAAAGTATCTCTAATGAGCTCCTTCAAGTTGGTATCATACCACAAGACGTCCATAAATCCCCAACTTACGATAAAATAATTGGATCATTTCTCTCTGGCATTAATTTCATACGCACTCAATCTGAAGTAGAGAAGAGGATTAACAAGTTTTTGTCTGCTCTGACTAATGTTGGAGGGCCAGTAGCTGATGCTTCTGCTATGATACTAGAAGAATGGGAACTAGCAATGGAGAGTTCACAATGAACTATGACTACAATACTTTTTATACACAACTTGCAATCACATGGAACAAGCAATGTTTATGTAACTTGTGGTAATTAAACTATTATTTTACACACACACACTCACCTGTCACATTATGTACATGCTATTTACTATTAAGCATTATTTGTCAAGCTATTTTATTTGTGGCTTTATGTTATCAAGAGTGGATAAGGAGGAGGGGAGAGTGTCTAACTGCCCTATGCTGCTAGTGATATGTGCGCGTAGAAGTTTCATGGTTATTATTTGTACATTCCCGCATACCTTATTTAGCACAATAAGTGATAACTGCACTGAAGCCATAGTTGGGCGTGTACTTAAGTTAACTGTAATATAAAAATGGCTGCTGAACTGAGCAGCAAGAGCCTGGACCACTAGGACCAGAGACCTTGGAAGCAGAATTTGACCTCACCTTGTTGTACCAGTCACTTTGTACCACTCTGAAGAGATTTGTAGTTTACAAGCACACAAACCATGTTTGTTATTGACACATGAAAAAGCTCTTGATCAATGATCATCCTCCTTTAGTCTGGTCCCTTGGGACCCACAACATCAAGAGTAAGGATAATAATAGAAGTGAAAGAATATGTGGTACATGTACTTTTGAGACATGCTGCTGCTGTTAACTGCTGTTGATCTTAAAAACGAAGTATTACAGATCTGAGTTCACTGGAGCAGAGGCTTCTGACTCTTGGCTCCATGTCCTCTTTCTTGATGCTTTAGGGCGCTTAGGTGTAGTGGCATGGCGCTCATCAAGATTAGATGCTCTCAATCTGGATTGTGCTGTAGTTCTGACTCTTCCTCTTGAAACATCGTGACTACACGTGTGGGTGGGTGCACCGTATAGGTTATTAAAAACACACCCATTTACTATCATGGCTGTTGATGTTTAAACAGGTCAAAGAAGGTGCTAAACAAACTGTGAAAGACTTCTACGCGCACATATCACTAGCAGCATAGGGCAGTTAGACACTCTCCCCTCCTCCTTATCCACTCTTGATCATAGATATACAAACACATGGATTGGAAAGCGGGTGAAAAATTAGATGAGGAGGCGTGTTACGCCT